CGTCCGAAACGTCAGTAAGTTTTTTCATCTTTTCACGGTGGATAATTTACCTTTTCATCATTACTTATCATAAGAGTTGACTTATCGAACGAATAGATATCGATTGATTCCGACTTGGTCAGTACCCCCCTCGGTACCCCTGTTATATAAAGGTCACTCAATTTGTTTTTCCGCATATTGATAAGCAACCGTGCTGCTAGAAGGAGCGACATATACGACTTTGACGTTTAGCTCCATACTCATGAACTTACCAATGAAACTCTACTTGAATTTTAACTATGGACTTCTGGTTGTACTTGGCAGTCAACTATTGTGTTTGGTGAGTTCATTTCAGCTTCTTTACTTCGTACCCTTCGTAGCTTGTCCTGCGCTGGAATAAGAAATATATCGGCATCGCGAGCATGCTAATGAAGATTTTGTAACACTTTTTGCATGTATTTGTTGTCACAAGTTAGATCATCATGCCAATGTTGGTAGATCTTTCGGGGGAATTTCCGATTCACACTCAAAGAATTTATATTATTTTTAGGACGGACTGAAACGAATTCCTCGCCATGAATTGCATAAAGCCATGGCTACCGACAGAGAAGAGATGATTCGACTTTTTGGTGAGGATTCTGCAGAAACAGGTAAATTTCATGGATTATCTTCGAAAGTTTATTTTTATTGACCTTAAATTACGTAAATCTGAGACGGAATTTCTGTTTCGTAACTGCGGTTAAAATCATTCAGTTTCTTGTTGACAGACATCACAAATTTTGAATAAATATCCAACAGCGGAGCAAAATTCTTTGGAACTTTTGAGTATCTTTTTTTTCAAATATAATTTTTTGGAGAAGCCTTACTAAATTTTATTAAATTTTATTATAGATTACTACATCCCAACAATTCGCTTTCGTTGACAATTCCTCATTCAAGCGAGGAAATGTGGACTTAAGAGAAGCAATAAACTTTGACATGGCAAATTAACCAATGGGATATGTGAATTCGGATAAAATGGATTAACATTAGCAATAGTTTTAATACCTCTGGTAATAACTGCTTCAAACACTATCACTTGGTCTAATCTTCCTTAGGATTAATAAATTTCAGTAAGTTTATAACCCTTATGTTGCTCACCCCATTGAATTATTTTAAAGATGGGCTAGAAGCTAATTGCTGACAGCCGGTGATTAATTTTTAAAAAGTCTGTTTGAGTTGTTTTGCTTGAACAAAGCGAAAGTTGTCGCCTGTAATACAAATTGTCAAGAATCATTTGAAACAATCACCAAGTATGTACGTAGTCTAAAAGTTGAATTCACTTATTGAAATTTTTTTTCAAAAGATGGATTAACTAGGATAATAGAAATGCTGGTCTATATAGTTCTGGGCCTGGTCGTATTGTACTAAGCGTGAATAGCGCTATCCAATGGATTAACCCTTGTCCAATGGATAAGATGATGTTATTATCCAATAAATTTATGCACTGGAAAATATTTATCCGCTGGATATAGCGCTATTCACCCTTAGGGTTAGGGTTAGGGTTAATTGGGCACTGCACATAACTTTAATTGTTTCGCAATATATTAATATAAAAATGTATTTCATTTAACGTAACTAATGAATGCATAAGTTCTTTGCACTTTCAGCTGTTTTCCATCCATTGCTCTAGCGAGCTCAGTTTCTTCAGTTTTTCAGTTTCTGAAATTTCCATGTTATTTTACTTTCTTTTTCATTCTTTTATTTGGAGCCAATTTATAGGTGCAATGTTGTATTACTTGAATGCACTAGAACAATTGACCAATCACTTAGTGCATGTAAGTGTTAAGTGGATTGAGTGGTGTACTTCAGGATAACACACGATCCAGTGATGACATGAGAAAAAAGTTCATTTGATGAGAAAATGTTCTATAGAAAATAAATGTATGCATGCTATTGACATTGAATATTTATGCTGCATTATTTGTAAGTATGATCTGAGCTTGGGATGCATTATTATCAACAAATTATTTCTTTTTCTTCAAACATTTTTGAAGATAATGCTTTGAACCAGATAATTTATGCAAAGCTTGTTAAAGAATGAAAGAATTATGCTTCTTTGAAGGGGGCTGAAAAACTTTGTTATTGAAGAGGAGTTTATAGTTCTAGTTTTTATGTATTGGTAGGCAACTAATCGGTAAACATGATATGTTTGTAGCCAATAGGCTGTGGGAGGATTACAAAGACTGCATCCATGGGGTACTTAATAATTAGTAATGGGCCAATTCATCCATTGAAACATGATGATGTTATCGAATGTATGCTTTTGTATTGGGCCAATTTATCCATCGCAACACGATGATGTTATTTTATGTATGTTTTGCATTTACAGTGAGTGACTACTAATTGTTCAAAAAGAAAAAGAAATTCTAGTAATATATAACATTTCAATCTCATAAAAAGGAAAATCAATAGTTTTCTATAAGGAAGGTGTAAAAATATATATGATAATATCAGGTTCCTCCTCTTGTTTATTAGAATTTTTAGGAATGGATCTATTCTTTTTTAGCTATAGTAATGTGGTATACATAAAAAAAGCCTTTGTTTAAATTTCCTAGGACATCGATGTGTTGGTATATCCTATGAAAGTGTATCTATAAATTTAACAACTTGCTTGAAATATACTCAACATGTCATCTTTTTATAACAAATTCAAGTAATAGACCTATCCCAAATTCGCTTGACTGGTCACAAAACATTAGGTTTCAATTCAAGGTTGAACTTGATGAATAAAAGAATCAAGTTCAGTCTCAACTTCAAACCATTGTTTTTTGGTCAGTCAAGCGAATTTGGGATAGGTTTATTAATGGAATTATTCTTTTTTGAAAATTGCTTTATTGTTTGTTTTTTTGCCATGAGATTTGGTGCATATACATGCAAGCTAATTATCATTTGGTATCCTTAAATTTAAGAAACAATTCTGTAGATCAAAATTTTAAGTTTGGAAAACTGCTATGGTTGTCCCAGTATGAATAATAAATGCCTGTTATAGTAAATGTTAATTAGTATATATTCAATGATATAAAGTATTTGCAATTACTGGTGTCAGTCCATTTAAAAATTAAACCATATAAGGTAATCCTTATGCCTAACGCTGTTTATTCTTTATGCCATGTTTTTACTATTGTTTGCATGAGGCCATACTCAAAGTTCATAACAAAACATAGCATAGCCATAATATTTTATTTTTTGTCTAAAGAATGCCGTCATTCAAACTGTTATGCTAAGACCAGTTTATCAGCAGTGTGTATGATCTGACATTGAAAATCTTTAAATTATATGTTTTTGATCATCTCAAACTAAATATCTGTAGTTGGAGTAATTTTGCTTAGGAATCCATTGGTTAGTAGTTAAATTTGCACTCTAACAAATGCACTGACCATTACAGTGCATATTTTAACTCAAATTCACATTTTTGATGCCGAATAACAGATTAAGTGATAAATTCTGGATTTAAAACTGTTCCCACTACTGATCATACGCGCACTCGCATAAAGTAAAACATATGGTGTTAAAAGGAAAAATATGAATATTTGTGCAAATTGTATTTAAATACTTAATCGAATTGCCTACATTTTTAGGAAAATCTTTCTGGGTGGCATTGGTTGGTAAAGTCACACTGTAAGCATAAAACTACTTGGACTTTATACTAAGCAACCTGCTTCAACTTTATGTTCAATAAAACATATTCAGGTTCTTTGCAGTCCAAGAAACTGGTAGCCATTCATTGTATGAAATTACAACTGAAAGGCAGTGTAAAAACGAAACACAGATAAAATATTGAAATAAATATAGTTTCTAAATTGAAGAACTCAATATAAATGTATGGATAAATGAGTTACAATTAGACTAGACTTTTGCAAAGCCTGTCACCCTCTGTGTATCTCTACTGGTGTGCGACTTGGTCGCTCGCCCCCTGTTTAGCAAATTCTTGCTTTGCTTAAATAAAAAACTCTTATGGAAGACAAGAGAGGTGGACTTGGGGCAGTTTGAAACGGTGCTTTTTAAACTGGAGTATTATTAGGAGTATATTTAAGTCAGGCTTTTGTTATAGAGTGCAAGCAATATAACCGTGAAACACTAATTACTAAATAAATTTATTGTTCAAAATAGTGCTAGTCAAACAAAAGAAAACAATAGAATGAGCATAGAATAGTGTGTGTGTGTAAGTTAGTATTACTAATATTTCACGGATATATTGTTTGCACTCTAACGTTCTAATTATTGAGCTACTGCAAGTTTGTCAAAACCCTATACTTGAAAGCAAACATGAAAATTAGAAAGCACAGACTAAGAGTATATTTAGTGCAAGGGCGGATCCAGGGTTTTTTTGAAGGGGGGTCTCAGGGGTAAATTTTGTGGGCAAGGGAATCCCAGTCGCATTTTTACCACAAGAAGCCCATTTGACCTCAGGAATGACAGGGGGTCGCGACCCCCCCGACCCTCCCCCTGGATCCGCCCTTGTAGTGTACTTACCTTTGAAGTTTTGCTATTTTTGAATCTTTGTTTTTAATATTTGAAGATGATTTTTTAAAAATACTGGCAGGCTTTGCAGTTCTCGCGAGGGGAATTTTTTTACCTGTAAAAATATCATCTAATCAAACTCAGTTATTTTAATTGTGAATGTGCGTTGCCATAGCGATGTCATTTCAAGTAAACATCTAAATGACTTTTTAACTGTTAGCGCATGCGTTTTTTACTGAAAACACGGACGCGTTTTCCCGCCAAAAAAGTGATTATTTTCATATAGTAAGAAAAGAAGTCAAAGCGATGATTATTAGTTCGTATGTTTTCCTATTTTGTTCCCAGTAGCAGCAACAATTATTGTTTTATCCTCCAGTTTTAGTTTTTTTAAGTGCCTGATAATAATTTAGAAATCTTCTTTACTGGTTTTTCACTCATTGAATCTCACGATTCATGATTTGCAGTGCCAGATTACAAAATTGCAGTGGTTCGGCCACACCGAACCAGAAGGGGGATCGAGGATGGCAGTAAACAGTACAGACTCTCTGCCTTTGGTGAGGATTTACATTTGGTGCTGGAACCAAATGATGCGGTGGTTTCAAGATCTCTGATCGTAATGAAGAAGTTGCCTGGTAATAAATGGACTCAAGAATTGTATACTCCAGAGGGAAGATTCCTTCAAGGTCACGTCGTTTCGCACCCAAACTCACACGTTGCTGTTCGTGAGCTGAAGAACGATAAAGAAATGGTAAGTTTGATTTAAGAAATTATCAATCCGTTTCCGTCATCGTGTCTGTCCGTCGCCGGATCTGTGAGCTAGCCGTGACCTACTTCGATCAGTAGAGGTTACAGTTTCAGGGGAACAAAATCTGAAGTTTGATTATTCGGTCCGTCCTGCCGTCTGGCCGTCCATCCGTCCTCCAACCAAAATCCACCCATTTATTCTTTAAATAAATTTTGTTTAACTTAATTCCATTTATAGACTGGCGGCATCTTTACCGATGGTTTTTTGTACAGAGTTCACCCAGTTTCGAAGAAAGCAAAGAAAATTTTATCCTTAAAAGGTCAAGGTCATCATGTGATAACAAGGCGGAGTATGAAAGACCCCAAAACTGGCTTTTTAAATAATCCCGCTTTTTTCCCTAAGCCAGTGCGAGGTAAGTAGCTGTTTAATATCTTTGCTTCGGAAAGTATCCACCTTCACTCACTCCATCGTGAATCACGCCATCCGAGAATTTCATTACTTTACATAATGATGATGATGGTGGTGATGATAATGATGATGGTGGTGGTGGTGGTGGTGATGATGATAATGATGGGATGATGGTGATGGTAGTGGTTCGGTGATGATGATGGTGGTGATGATGGTGGTGGTGGTGATGATGACAAAGGTGGTGATGATGATTATGTTGATTTATTTATATAGCGCTGATTCCTCCAAAAGCTCTTCTCAATCAGGATATAAACAAATCCTTGAAATACCTATACTTAAAATAATATACGTCTAACTTATCCAAAGCTTATCTACAATAATCGATAAATTAATGACAACTAGACTCGGCCTACCACRGGTAGCCCGAGTAATTAATGTTAACTATTTGTTTAGTTTTTGACCAGGAAGAAGACACAGTTGTTTATGGGAGACAGCGAACTCGAAAGCGCAGAGATTTGAGCACAAAATAYATTGAGGGTATGATGACACTGGACAAAGTAAGCTGTGATTACTATGGACAGGAGAGCATGAGTGTCGTTCTTGCAATAGCAAACATGGTAAGTTAGCCGATTCTTTATATATGTATGTTGTTTGGTGTATTTTTACATGCGTTGACTGAATAAGGAAATGTATTGAAGGTCATTCAGTACAACGATCACGTTAGCCTGAACTGTTATGGTCAGCAGTTTACTTGCTGACGCACTTTTTCCACTAATGAAGTCCAATAATGCCATTAGACACTTTAAGATTTGCATAATCTACGACGGCGACGCCAACCAGAAGTGTAAATAATTTCTCTTTGGGGTTCTGTTCATTGAAAATTTCATTCAAAACATCATCAGTAAAGTCAATTCATCCACAGGGAAAAGAGACTTTGAAGTGAAGTTATTTACACTTTGGGTTGACGTCGCCTTCGTAGATGTTGTGAATATTAAAGYCCCTCATTTTTGTGAACGACGACTCATTATTATTAACAACGCGATGCATGTTTTCTATCATAGGCGAATCGACTCTATCAAGATAAGTCAATGGAACCGGACGTGAGATTTGTTTTGACTAAAGTAATATTGGTCAAAGCCTTCGAAGTAAGTCCCATTTTCTCTATACTTAGAAATAGAATATAGATTAAATTTCATTTCTTGTGACTAAGAATTAAAAGGCACGGTTACGGTACTGAATTATTGATATTCCCGGACGTAATGCTCAAACTTATTGATCATGTAATCAAAATGTTTCTACATGGCACGATACGGCACGTCTGTACCACTGTGAGTTTGACAGAGTCTTACGAAACTTTCTCATTCTTACTGAGGAGGGTTGGGCCTCTAATCCTTGGACAGATCTCACGCATACAGTCAATTCAAAAAACGTTGTCGTCGACCGGCTCAAGCCTACGCGACTGGACCGAAAGGAATATGGGTAAAAATCACTGAAGCGGTTAAATATTCGTTCTGAATAAATTGTTCCCGCTAGTTATAAGATAATAATGGCCAGAAACAATCCATCAAATGCATGTCTTTGGGTTTAGGGAAAGGAAAATAAAGTAGTTATGATTCACTTCACAATTTCGAAGATATGACGGCATTGAAAATAACGTCTCCTTCGACACTTCCCGCTCGCCTACGAAGTTTCGTGCTGTAAACCAGGCATAACTAGTCAGATAAAATTATGGAGTCAACTCGGCTTCAATGATTKCTACCCAGAGTTCCTTTCGGTCCAGTCGCGTAGGCTTGAGCTGGTCGACAACATTTTTTGAATTGACTGTATATTCTGGTACTTCCCGAACTCCCCGAAGAGAAACGAGTCCGTGGACTTTGGGGAACGAGAATGCAAATGGGGTTCATTTTCATTGTTGTCTGGCAAATGCCTGTTCCTTATAGGCGAAGTGCAATTACTTTAAAGGAAATGGCCATGGCGGCCATTTTGATTTTTAAGGTCATCCAAGATGGCGGCTTTGAAAATCAACAAGCAAATGCGTTCCCCATGTTTTTTCCCCTTGAACGTCGCAGGGTGAAAAAAAGTGTAGCCTTTAAGCTTTACCAACTTATTTTAGGCTGGGCTGGACGTGCAGCAAAATAATATCGACTCCGCCGTCAAGTATATGGGCTTGTTTGCTAAATGGAGCAAGGACAAGAACTCTGCGCCTGGCGAGGCAGGACACTTTGATAATGGAGTACTGCTATCAAGGTAATAGATAGATCGTAAGGTATCAAGGATGGTATAGCGGTAGCCTTGTCGTCTGACACCTTTGGGGTCTCAAGTTCAATAGACCCCTTGCACTGAGTCCCAAGGAATTGTTCTTGGGGACAAAACAATGAATTTTTTTTTGCATAAAAAAAACAGCCTATTGTTTTGTCCCCCAGAACAATTCCTCTAGGAAATCAATGTAAGGGGTCTCTTCCTGGACTCCGTATCTCATTTTAGTAAAGTTTGTCCGGTCTTTTCTTTGATTCGAGAGTTGTTTTCCGAGTTCTCTTGTTTCTCTTTCATCTCCTGGAAAACGTACATGCTAAATTGTACGTTGATCTGTGAAATAGCTGTGCCCTGACCTAGATCAGCCCAGACGTTGTTTCAGGATTCGATCTGTGAGTTAGCCGCGTACCCTGACTTTGATCAGCCCTGAGGTTGTTTCAGGGCTCCATCTGTGAATTGGCAGTGCCCTGACTTTGATCAGCCCAGGTTTCAATAAAATTTGAAGATGTGTTTCATCGAATGCCATTATAAGTCAACGTACTTGAATCCTCTTTGTTTTCCATTAAAGATGTTTTCGAATTTCTTCTTTTTCCAGAGATATTTGTGGACTGAAAGATTGCGTCCTTGGAGGTAAAAATCTTCTTTTTGTTTTTGTTTTTTGTTATTTCGCGCGCATAAAAAAACTGTTATGAAAACGTGCTTTCGGGTCGCTGTCGTGGTACTTATCGATGCTTAGGGCTTCTAATGATTCTTGATAGAACTTTGAATTCTCATGTTACAGGAGTGGCCTATAGCGGGGTTCCATGTAGCTCAACTTTGGCTTATACTGTGAATATGGCCAGGGGCATTGACGCCGCTTTCTATGTCGCTCATGAAATGGGCCATAAGTGAGTACATCTTTCTTTGTTTGCATGCTCTGGATGTTTTTTTCCCTGCTAGCAGATCGAGTCTTCCTTATTGGCGATTTTTTTTTTTTTTTTTTGAGATTCGTCAAAGAGAGAAACTGCTAGCAGGGAAAATGCTTTTCCCCCTTAGAGTTGAAAATATTGTTTCTTCAAATTATTATTGGGGGGGGGGGGTGGGGTGGTGGGGGATGTGTTTGTACCCAGGCTAGACCACAGTACATCATGTTTATCGAACTCCAAAAAAGGTTTATGGGACAGTCTCTATAAGTAATTAAATTATTATCATCATCATTATACAAACGGCCTGTTTTATTTTAATTTTTCCTCAGCTTCGGCCTTCCACACGACAATGGGGCATGTAACAATGGACACATAATGTCTGCTGGTCAAGGAAGCGGGCCAAATTCATTCCAATGGTCGAAATGTAGCAGTGATAGATTAAAATCTATTTTGGGGTAAGTAAGCCACCCGGTTAGCCCAGATGGTAAGGGTGTTGGTCGGTTGTCCGGTTGGTCGTGAGATCAAGCCTTGGCTGTCGGACCAACACTCAGGTTCTTATAATAGCTGAGGAGAAGGTGATACCTTCGTAATTACATCTGAAAATGATCAGACTTTAACGTGTCTCGGATCTCTACGTTAAAGGCGGTCCCCTCCCTAATGAACTAGAGACGTTAAATTAGGACCACGAGTTTACCCGTTGAATTACTGCCAAGTGTCATGCATTTATAAACAAATTTGATTTATTTATTATTTATTTGAAACACTACACTATTTTTTTGAAATACATTTTTTCTCATTTTAACCCCCTCCCCCCCTCCCGCCCGCTCTATAACGTTACAATAATCTATTTTTCTTTGCTCTTCTCTCCTAGTCGTGTAACGTGCTTCGATAACAAACCGCCCACAAGTATAAGTGTACCTAAACTACCTCCTGGCTATACGTTGAATGGTGACAAGCAATGCAAAATGCTGCTTGGATCGAGTTACAGATTATGTCCCCTGACGCTGGTAATAAAAATATTGATATGATACATAAATAAAGATTGGAAAATATTTTCACATTTATCCTCCAACAAGACTGAAAGGGATAGATTACAGATCATATCCCCTGACGCTGGTAATAAAAATATTGATATAATACATAAATAAAGATTGGAAAATATTTTCACATTTATCCTCCAACATGGCGGAAAGGGACCACATGACCTATGGGGGGAAATCGCATATAATAACGCACTAATAACGATAAAAATATTAGTAGAATTATAAAGCTTTTGAAGCATTCGAATGATTTCTTAATTGCCCTCCAATATGGCGGAAAGGATCACAAGTACTATAATTTTATGTCGCTGTTTCACTGATGTTGCGCATCAAACTGACATACCTTGATCACATGTACCTTGATCACACGGTGCTATGATTATTCGCATGTAAATTAAAACCTTTGTTTTAACTACGCGTTATCTTATTCTGAAGCGCTTGATTGCGGGGCCATGCGGGTTAAATCTTTTGTTACAGTCACGCTGGTTGCCGCCTGATAAATTCCCATACTTCTTATTTGTTTAAATGGAAGGTAATACCCTTTACTTTATATCCCAAGAAGGTAATTCTCCCCTCTTCTGGCCGAGAAACTTATTCATTTTTCTATTTATTTATTTATTTTATAGTTAAATGTATGAATGATGTATTGTTTTTTAATGCATTAATTGTTCAATAGGATAATTGCGCTCTTCTGTTCTGCATGAAAAGCGGTGGCTGCAGTAGTTTGGGTACCGCACCAGTCGATGGCACACCTTGTGGAGTTAGAAAGGTTAGACGCATTTGTATGTTAGGACAGATTTCTTACAACCCCCCTCACTCTCTCCTTTACTAACACAAACATGCACATACCTCAATAGCAGATGCGCCTTGTTTTTTCTTGCTTGATAAAATGCATCGCGAACTTATTGTTCTATGTCAATCTTTCGRTGATTCAAGGTGCTGGTTGTCGCTGGATGTCGCTCGGTGATTCAAGGTGCTGGTTGTTTCGTCTAGTGTAAAACAAGACCGATTTCAATATTTKTTCAAATTCTTGGATTGATTCAAATTTTATAGGACAAAAGCCATTTCTGTCATAATCAACCGAAATGGCGGGCGAGAGAGAGGTTTAACAGTGCGCGAAAAATTGTAATTGCGCGTTTGTTTCTCCAGCTCAAAATAAGTCTGTTTACTTATTGATTCGTTGTTTCTTGCAGTGGTGCATTCGTGGTGAATGTACAGATGTCGGTTCCAGTGTCCCCCCTGCTGTCGACGGTGGATGGGGTGAGTGGGGTCCTTACGGCGAATGCACTAGGACTTGTGGAAAAGGCATTCGTTATAAAACTCGTGTATGTGACAATCCAAGGTAAACGAACTGCGTATTTTTATTTTATTGTTTATTACACTTCTTCTGCGAATTAAAGTGTATGTCAAGGTAATTTGTTTTTTCAAAATCACTTATATGTGAAGAGTGTAGTAGTATGGTTGCAGTATTTTCGTATGTGAAATTTCTTTTCGGAGATATAAACATTTGAAATATCAATATGCAAATGAGATGACGTAAATTCAAGACTAATTTAGGTTATTTTACTTCAGAACACTTGTTGTAAATCACACTGCAAAATGTAACACATTCTGGAATTTAATGTTAACACCCTGAGTCTCCTACTCAGCCGCTATTAGTGTCGTCACGCAACGCTACTTAGCTATCGTGATCGAATTGGAATTTAAGAGTAAATTTTTGCGGAGGGAGGAAAACCGGTGCACCCGGAGAAAATTCGTCGAAGCATAGGMAAGAACCAACTAGAACTGAATTTACTAAATATAACACCGAGGCTTGGAATCAAACCAGAGCACTCGCACCGCTACGCTACCCATGCTTCTCATCAAAATCATTATCACCAAACCGTCTTCATTACCATCATCGTCATTATCATCATCAACTTCATCATCTACGCCATCATCATCAACTTCATCATCATCATTCTCAACACCATCATCGATCATCATCATCATCAAAATCATCATATATCATTATCTCCAACGGGATCATAATCTATATGTTAAGTGTATGCTATGATCATAATCATTTAGGTAAACATTTATTGCGTTATTTCTAGTATCGTATCTAGTATCCATGTTAATGGAAAAAAAATTAATTCTTTCTAGTCCTCAACACGACGGAAAGCCCTGCCCTGGATTGTCTATTGGGGAATTTCAGATTTGTGAGAAACAAGTAAGTACACTGTTAATTTTTAGAAATTGCTAGTTTTGTACTCGGTTGTTGTTTGTCACGATCATATGGCAGGTTTTTTATGCGGATGACCGCATTTCCCCCACAGTTTGCATTTCTCCTGCAGCTGGTCTGTCGTAACTAAGATACTGTTTCAGCAGAACAAACTCTGTGAACTATAGCTTTTCTTAGGAGTAAAAAAAAAAAAAAAAAATCCGCTTTACTTCCCTTCACAAAATACAGTTCGCTAAATTCCTGGTATGTGAGATAGCTGTTGTTGCATGACTCAGTAAAATTGAGGATTTCTTTCTTGAGGAAGCCTGGGGTATTTAGCGGTTAGTCAGAAACAAATACACGCGCGCGCTGATTTTAAAATATAAACGAGAAATATTCAATACTGCAACCAGGTGGTCTGAAATAGTGACTTAGAAATGACGGATGGTACTGCGAAACTAAGGTGTCGTGAACCCTGCGAAAATTGACCAGCAAAAATAAAAACCTGTCCACCATTGCAATGAAAATTTATAACTCATTAGTTATTGTGTTACTGTTATTAACCTCTTATTACCAAAGGTTTTTTTTTCTTCATATCAATCACCCTAAGAGAAAAAGTGACTCCTCAGTTTTTCAAATTTTCTCGTCGACTATGATTGGCTGACATTTTCTCTCAGATCTGCTGGACAAGGCAAGGCTGAAATCACGTGATCGATTTTAATCAATCATATTCTACAAATTTCAGAAGTGTACGAATAATGAATATTTGTGGTTTGCTTTGTTTAACTTGTAATAATGCGGTATTTACTTTTCCAGCCTTGCGCTTCAAATACGAATTACCGCATGGAACAGTGTAAGAAGAAAAAATCTGATTATACCGGTTATACTATACGAGGTAAGTATATAGAAACTCAGGGAACCCACATCAGAGAATAACAAAGGGGAATAAAAGCATTTACCGTTGGCATTCCCTTGAATATTATTTTTCTGTATTCCCAATAAAGATCGATAAATTATGGTGTGACACAACTTAACCTAGACATCACACCCAAACTCGTTTTTTCAATTAGACCGTTTTTTTAATTAGTCAAATACCACTGTGTTCCTTGATCACAGGCTCGTTTATACAGGTATAGCCTTATTTAGAGTCCAAATATTCGCAAATACCAAAGGCAAATACAAACACCTTGATAATCCRTGGACCTTGACTGGAATGCATGAATATTCAAAGTAATTCCTTACGAAATTGAGGCTAATTGAACAACGTACAACAGAGAATTCAAAACTGGAGTATAGGCCACTTGCAGTACGTGGGAATGCAGTTCAATTTGTAGAACATAACAATAGATTTCCAATTCTAATGAGATGAAGTTCTTTTGTTTTGTTCTCCAAATTGAGCTCCTTTGTTAACTGTTGTTAATGTAAGTCTGTTTTCAAGAGGCTCCTTGTCGGAGGCCTTGCCTCTTGAGGGCCAGTGTTTCAATTTCATTCCAATAGACCTCTGGTAACAAAGAAATAATACTCTAGGGAATGACACTTGGTATGAAATGGGAAAACATTACGTCTTAGCCAAAAAGGTTTATTTTGCTGTTTTTCGATGTTCTTGTCTGTTTGTTTTTGATTCAGGGAACCCATGTTACCTATGGTGTATGGAAGGCAACGTAGGTCGTGGAGAAGGGACAGTAGCAGATGGAACAAGATATAGCGATGAGCCTTTGAATCACGATATTTGTATCCAAGGAAAACTAGTTGTAAGTTTGCAGATCGATGGTGTGTCATTGATAATGATTATTGATATAATATAATATAATAATAATATAATTTATTTATATAGCGCTCATCTCCAAAATTGTCCAAGGCGCTTCACAAAAAATTAGAATCAATCTTGATAATTGATGGTGTTGTTAACTTGGATGATTGTGAGTAGAGTAGTGGTGAAGTTGATGGAGATGGAGATGGTGAAGGTGATGGTTATTTTAATTTAATTTAATTTTAAATAATGGCGATGATGGTAGATGATAGTGAAAATGATGATGATAATAGGTGATGGAAGTGATGATGTTGATAATAATGATGGTGATGACGGTGATGGTGATGATTGTGATGGAAGTGATGATGTTGACAATAATGATGGTGATGGTGGTGGTGATGGTGATGGTGATGGTAGTGATGATGTTAGCAATAACGATGGCGATTATTGTGATGGTATTGATAATGTTGGCAATAATAATGGTGATAATTGTGATGATGTTGTTGATTGATGATGATGATGATTGAGGCTTATGATAATCATGATAACATGCATGTCGAGAATTTCATAAGATAAGACAGCTTCTTTATTACTATGACATTTTAGTCTGCAGGCTGCGATGATGTGATTGATTCAGGAAGCACATATGACAGGTGTATGAAATGTCAAGGTGATGGCTCTGCTTGTGTTCCAGTCAAAGGAGTTTACGATAAGGATCATCAAGCTACTGGTATGATAAAGGAAAAAGAAGTATTGTTGGGTTAAAACACAGTAATAGACCTAATCGGCTAACGTGTTGCTATGTACGTTACCACCCAATTCAAACCTTCTGGGAATAGAAGCGTTTGTCTCTACGAATTCAACTCTGAAACTAAAATATAACGAACAATGAAACTTATTCCCAGAAGGTTTGAATTGGGTGGTAACGTACATAGCAACACGTTAGCCGATTAGGTCTATTATTTACTGATAACAGAAATGTTTTAGAATATCGATCAAATCTTAAGGTTTTAAAATGATTGAGGACTTTTTCTTACTTCCTCCTTTCCCCCTCCCTCCTTCCTCCTTTCCCCCTCCCTCCTTCCTCCTTCCCCCTACCCCCCTCTATATTTTTCCCTTCCTTCCTTCGTTCCTTCCTTCGTTCCTTCGTTCCTTCCATCCTTTTCTTCCACCCTAATACTCCCTCCCTTTCTTCTTGTCTTCCTTAGCTTCTCTCTTCAGTTCCTTCTTTCTTTATCCTCTCCCAATCTTCCATTGTTAATTAATTGTGCGTTTGGTTTATTGATGTGGTTTCTAGTCGTTCCCATTCTAATTAACTATTTTGTTTTGCAATTTTAGGCGTGTCTAACGCTGACAAAATGTTTGATATACCAATTGATTCAACTTACTTTCAAATCAAGGAAAAATCACCTACACGAAATGTTTTGAGTAAGTTTATCAAAGTTTTTAAAAAAACGTCTGAATTAAGAACTTGTATATTAAATTAAGAAGACGTTACTGACTGAATGACTTGGGTGGTTCGATGGATTGATAGATAAATGAATTATTTGTTACTGACTTGCTGGCGCTGTGCACTGGAAGGCGTTGGCGTGCTGGAGGGATCGATGGATGAAGGAATAGAGGGATGGATGGATGAATGTAGGTATGTATGGATGGATGGATGGATGGATGGATGGATGGAGGGAATGAATGGATAAAGGGATGGAGGTAGGGATGGATAGATGGGCGGATGGATAGATAATTGAATGAAAAGATGGAACAGAAGATGGATGGGCGGATGGATGTATAAATGGACGGGTGATTAGATAGATTAATGAAGAAACGAATAAATAAATGATTTATTAAAATAATGGAATTTGCTTTTTTTCAATATATCGTTTCTTTAACGCAAAAATATGTATTTTTTTTTTACAGATATTAAATTGAAAAACACCGACTCTTTTATATTTCCTAACCGTCCTCTCACGTCGTCTAGAGAAGCGGCTGGGACCACGATCGAGTACATTATAAATAACAACAACCTGAACGACGCAGAAACCATGAAATTTACGGGCCCAAACAAACAAGTTCTCGTACCCATGGTAAGTAAGAGATGTCTCATACCTAAAGCCTTGACATTTTATCTTCACCCTCAAACAATCCCTGAACTGTTTTTTGAATGAATGAAACCTTTATATAAAAATAAATAAAGCCAGGGTAGTCCCTTCAGAACTAATAAAAGGTCTGCTATCAATGGGAGTCCTGAAGTTCGAAGTCAGACTAAATCAGAGATGGATTTGTTACGGGTTTTGCGAACGGAAGAAAACTGAATAATCTGAAGAAAAAGCTTGAATCAAGGGAGAGACTACAAGCTCAACTCACAGCACGTGATGCTGAGTCTGTTAATCAAACCCGAGACTCCAGAGGCGAAAGGGGAATGCACCACTAGGCTATGCCGCACCTTTTTTCGTGGCAACGGCAACTTTCCTCGCATAGGACACTGCGTTGGAATAACGTTGGAATAACGGTTTCTCTTGCGACCTCTCTCTTGCGACCTCTCTCTTTAACTACGCGTAGCACCATATCTCTTAAGTAATACTTCTCTATTTCATATTCGCGATAAGCCGGCCCCTTAGCTCCATTCTCGACTTTCACATCCCCATAATGCCTTGCGTTTTTGGGGCGGTAACCAATCAAAAAACTGTCTCAAATTGAAAGGTTTCTTAATTGAATTTATACTATACCTGCTTTTATCTGTACAATACTGATTATCAGTTTATTCCAAGTTATTTTTGCGTGTACAGATCATGAAGAGTTTTGGTCTTACAGAAAATGTATTGACTTACGAAAAAATGTTTAAAATTTACCATAAACGTCTTCCAGCTTCTATCTTTTTCCGTTTTTTACTTCTTTATTTTATCTTTGGATACCAAACAAGGTATTTTCAACATTGTCTGATCAGCCTTCAGCAAAATAAGTGGGTTTTTACCCTCTGGTTACCCCCCAAAGACGCAAAGGATTATGGGGATGTGAAAGTCGAGAATTCACATATTACGACCTACTACTTCTTTCATTCATTTTCTTTCTTTCTAGTTTGTTAATGTGATGGGCGATACGAATGTGGGTTATGATTACTTTTACTACAAGCCTGGCCAAGGTTCAAAGACAACTTTCGTTTGGCGGTATAAAGCTACCGGATCGTGCAGCGCTACTTGTGCTGGAGGTAGTAATCTGAAGTTTCCTTTTTTTTAACTGTGCCACCTGGGCATACGAATTCCAGAAGCCTTCAGTTTTTGGCTTTTATCAATCAATTTGATCTAAGTCGGGGCACAGCTAACTCACAGATCAAACCCTGAAACAACCTCTGGGCTGATCTAAGTCAGGGCATGGCTAANGACTTACGAAAAAATGTTTAAAATTTACCATAAACGTCTTCCAGCTTCTATCTTTTTCCGTTTTTTACTTCTTTATTTTATCTTTGGATACCAAACAAGGTATTTTCAACATTGTCTGATCAGCCTTCAGCAAAATAAGTGGGTTTTTACCCTCTGGTTACCCCCCAAAGACGCAAAGGATTATGGGGATGTGAAAGTCGAGAATTCACATATTACGACCTACTACTTCTTTCATTCATTTTCTTTCTTTCTAGTTTGTTAATGTGATGGGCGATACGAATGTGGGTTATGATTACTTTTACTACAAGCCTGGCCAAGGTTCAAAGACAACTTTCGTTTGGCGGTATAAAGCTACCGGATCGTGCAGCGCTACTTGTGCTGGAGGTAGTAATCTGAAGTTTCCTTTTTTTTAACTGTGCCACCTGGGCATACGAATTCCAGAAGCCTTCAGTTTTTGGCTTTTATCAATCAATTTGATCTAAGTCGGGGCACAGCTAACTCACAGATCAAACCCTGAAACAACCTCTGGGCTGATCTAAGTCAGGGCATGGCTAACTTACATATTTAGCCCGGGAGCAATCTCTGGGCTGATCATAGTTAAAACATGGCCAACTCACAGATTGAACTATGAAAACAGAGTCCAGGAATCGAACCAGAGAACCCAGAAGTGAGAGGGAAGGGTACTACCACTTCGTTACTCTTTCTGGAAACATAAGAAAAAACACCCACGTGAAGCTCTAGTATATATTTTTTAGGTCATCAAGCTCAGATTGTTACTTGCCACAGAAATGATGATGAGTCACGAGTCAGTAGGAAGTTCTGTGACCTTGGTAACAAACCTAGTGAATTGGTCCCTTGTAACACCCAAGTTTGCCCTGCGAAGTAAGATCACTGATATATTTATATATCATTCATGTTTACTAATTTAATATTGATAACTAACTTGTTTTGCACAGATATTCGCTTGTTATAAATCAGTTGAATGAATATCATTACCAGCCTACAATGACAGGCAAACACTGCCCGTCGCGTGCTATCAACAAGAGAGTATTCTGTTGCTTGGTATACATCACTTGAATAAATCTCATCACCAGCTACCCTACAATTACAGAAAAACACTGCCCGTCGCGTGCTATCAATCAGAGGGTTTACACTCAATTGAAGAATCGTTGTCGGGTTCAGAAACATAGAACATAAAAGCTGAGACCGAAATGGCACATGGGAAATGACATAATTATATTATAATTTATTCACTTGCGCCATCCAGTCGGTTTAGAATGCCAAACGCGTATACCGAAGACCTGCGCGTTTGAGAGCCGTTTGCCACGGGTCGCCGGTCACAGCATGCATCTAATTAACGTACTTCCCATGTGCCATTTCGGTCTCAGCTTCTATGTTCTATGTTTCTGAACCCGACAACGATTCTTCAATTGAGTGTATATTATATCACTTAGTATCAACAGCTGAATTAATCTCAATCCTYATACTTTTTTCTAGATGGGAGCCCGAGCTTTGGCAACCATGTTCTCGTATATGTGGTGGCGGTAATCATTCCCGTCTTGTGCCTTGCGTTCAGCAAGTGACGTCCGAAATATATCGCAACGTCGAGTACCACTACTGCAACATAAGTGCTCGTCCACCTTTAACGAGTACTTGTAACGAGGTCGATTGTGGTATCGCTTGGGTTCCTGGCGAATGGTCAAAAGTAAGAGTAACTTCTGGTGTCGAAATTTCCCTAATTCATTATGACGTCACATTCAAAAAAWATATATAAAAGAATCGGAGGGCATGATGGAAATTGCTGGGGCTTGAGCTACCAGTAATATATGTCAACCCTCGTTAAATAAAGTCGTACTACCAATTATTGTTCATGGTCGTGGGTTGGTAAGGTTTTTATATTTTTAACGGAATAAACATGTCGCAGTGTAATCAAGGTGGATGATAACGAGTCCAGGAATCGACCCCATGAGCACATGGTTGCGGGGCTGCCCATTAACAGGACACAAATGTGAACCTCTGCTGTCTCTCTGGTTCAAATGTACTATTCTTTTCTTTCAGTGTGTAATAGGGAAACACGGGGGCACCGCCACACGAGAAATCAAATGCCAAAACATTTTGGCCAACGGTACAGTTTTGACGCTCAACCGGAATCATTGCGAAATCGTTGGCAATATGCTTCCTGAAGCGATCATGAACTGTACGCTACATGCCAGTAGTCACTACGTCCGGCCGTCATCACTTGGTAACCTAATAGCTGTTATTCTCACGTGTTTAATGTTTGGTTTTCTAGGATAGAATTCAGGTTAGTGAGTTGTTTGCAAGGTATATAGTAGTGAAATATTTTATCACAATTAGTAAGATCTATTGCACTAATAACATTGTATCAATCCACCGAATGAATCTCATTACGAGCCTTCAGTGAAGGGCAAAGCTGCCCTTCGTGTTCAATCGTTCATGCATGGAAAACAATTCCAACAATTCAGCTGGTACAGGAAATGACGCCTATTAATAACACCCTATAGATCACATTATTTTATCACATAATATATATAGTACATACCTTGCAAAAATAATAATGATAATATTTTACAACTACCACTCCCCACACGGGGCTCTTCCGTGAGGTTCCCTCCACACGCACTTCCACTACATTCTATATTTACAACATACAACACTCAACTCACATGTTGATTTTTATGGAGGGAGGAAACCGGAGAACCCGGAGAAAACCCTCGTATCATAGGAGAGAACAACACATCAAACAAACTCAATTCACATGTACTGACCGCAGGGCTCGAACCAGCGACCCGACCCGTTGGACTCACAGCGGTGAAAGACGACGCATTAGTCGCGAACGCCACCCATGCTACCCAAATGCTCTATCTGGGGTCAAAGCAGGGTGTCTCTTCTACTGAAAATCGAATATACTAAACAAATGGTTTTCATTTGTTTGACGCCCAGAAGAGGTCACATTGAAAGGGTCTATTTGCCATACAGCAGCATGCAGAAACACATAACATTACTGCACACAGACTTGCCGTATGCATTGCATTGGCCATTCCGAGGTTGATTAAAAACCTGGGTCGAATTGGCATTACAGTGCATTATAGGCTGTTTTAAAGGTCATATTTCCAAGATGGTGTCTATTTTGTCCCTTAAAAAATCCCACAATGCACTGCAGTGCAACCAAAGAATAGAGAAATCTTTACATAGATATATACACCTTTTGCTGTTCATTAACAGAAAATGTACATTCATTTGTGCCAATAGTTGTATCAATAACGTGTAATGTACTTTCATCAACACCACAAGTAACATCATTAGCACGGATCAACTTTCAATAACGATAATTGAATATGCGTGTACATTCATAGGCATCAATGGACAATCAATAGCGCGTTCGTACATTCATAGGCGCGGAATGTATTTTCTTGTGCGCGAAATTCAACTTCAACTGACACCAAATGACAAACAATTGCATTTATGGACAATCATTTACCCAAAAGTGAAAATTCATTAGTGCTATTAGCATAATCATTGACAATCTATAACGCGTTTGGACAATCATGAGGGTCAACGTTATATTCTATAGCGTGGTTSGACAAACATTTGCATGATTCGAATAAACAATAAAAGAAATAAAACAATCATCAAACAATTATCACTTTAATACATATACTGTAAAAAACTCAGAAAACTGCCTCCATAAATAGCGGCTGCGTAGGAGAATAGCAATTAGCTCACTTGAAGCAGCAATCAAAGCCGACCTCAGCCGTCCAGAGATCCAACAACATACGAACGATCGGGCTGAGGCAAGACGACAAGGGATTGCTCTAGGTCTCTACAGAAAGCAGTTGCCAATGGAAGGGTTCCAGAGAAATGTGGCAACCATCACTATCGCTAAATGTGATCAGTGGTTCAGATATACAGTCAATTCAAAAAA